GCTGGCTGATATGGTCATCTGGTGTTCCAAGACTGATTGTATGTCTCTGTGTCCGGACCATGTGGATCACTGCTCATGCAATCAACATATATGGCATCTCCATCCACGATCTATAAACCATAATCTGTAATCCACTTACACTACCTGTAGACCATGGTCTGGCATCTCCATCCATGATCTATAAACCATAATCTGTGATCCACGTACACTACCTGTAGACCATGGTCTGGCATCTATATCCACGATCTATAAACCATAATCTGTGATCCACGTACACTACCTGTAGACCATGGTCTGGCATCTCCATCCACGATCTATAAACCATAATCTGTAATCCACGTACACTACCTGTAGACCATGGTCTGGCATCTCCATCCACGATCTATAAACCATAATCTGTGATCCACGTACACTACCTGTAGACCATGGTCTGGCATCTCCATCCACGATCTATAAACCATAATCTGTAATCCACTTACACTACCTGTAGACCATGGTCTGGCATCTCCATCCACGATCTATAAACCATAATCTGTAATCCACGTACACTACCTGTAGACCATGGTCTGGCATCTCCATCCACGATCTATAAACCATAATCTGTAATCCACGTACACTACCTGTAGACCATGGTCTGGCATCTCCATCCACGATCTATAAACCATAATCTGTAATGCACGACACTACCTGGTCTATCTCCATCCATGATCTATGGCATCTCCATCCACGATCACACTACCTGCAGACCATGGTCTGGCATCTCTATAAACCATAATCTGTAATCCATCCATTACACTACCTGTAGACCATGGTCTGGCATCTCCATCCACGATCTATAAACCATAATCTGTAATCCACGTACACTACCTGTAGACCATGGTCTGGCATCTCCATCCACGATCTATAAACCATAATCTGTAATCAACACTACCTGTAGACCATGGTCTGGCATCTCCATCCACGATCTATAAACCATAATCTGTAATCCACGTACACTACCTGTAGACCATGGTCTGGTATCTCCATCCACGATCTATAAACCATAATCTGTAATCCACGTACACTACCTGTAGACCATGGTCTGGTATCTCCATCCACGATCTATAAACCATGATCTGTAATCATAAAGCTATAGACCATGGTCTGGTATCTCCATCCACGATCTATAAACCATGATCTGTAATCATAAAGCTATAGACCATGGTCTGGTATCTCCATCCACGAATCTATAAACCATGATCTGTAATCATAAAGCTATAGACCATGGTCTGGTATCTCCATCCACAATCTATAAACCATGATCTGTAATCATAAAGCTATAGACCATGGTCTGGTATCTCTCCAATCTATAAACCATGATCTAATCTCCATGATCTATAAACCATGATCTGTAATCATAAAGCTATAGACCATGGTCTGGTATCTCCATCCACAATCTATAAACCTGGTATCTCCATCCACCAATCTATAAACCATGATCTGTAATCATAAAGCTATAGACCATGGTCTGGTATCTCCATCCACAATCTATAAACCATGATCTGTAATCATAAAGCTATAGACCATGGTCTGGTATCTCCATCCACAATCTATAAACCATGATCTGTAATCATAAAGCTATAGACCATGGTCTGGTATCTCCATCCACAATCTATAAACCATGATCTGTAATCATAAAGCTATAGACCATGGTCTGGTATCTCACAATCCACAAACCATGATCTGTAATCAAACTATATGATCATGGTGTAATCATTCACAATCTATAAACCATGGTCTAAAGCTATAGATCTCCATCCACCACAATCTATAAACCATGATCTGTAATCATAAAGCTATAGACCATGGTCTGGTATCTCCATCCACAATCTATAAACCATGATCTGTAATCATAAAGCTATAGACCATGGTCTGGTATCTCCATCCACAATCTATAAACCATGATCTGTAATCATAAAGCTATAGACCATGGTCTGGTATCTCCATCCACAATCTATAAACCATGATCTGTAATCATATAGACCATGGTCTATCTATAAACCATGATCTGTAATCATAAAGCTATAGACCTCCATCCACAATCTATAAACCATGATCTGTAATCATAAAGCTATAGACCATGGTCTGGTATCTCCATCCACAATCTATAAACCATGATCTGTAATCATAAAGCTATAGACCATGGTCTGGTATCTCCATTCACAATCTATAAACCATGATCTGTAATCATAAAGCTATAGACCATGGTCTGGTATCCCCATTCACAATCTATAAACCATGGTTTCTCCATCCACAATCTATAAACCATAATCTGTGATCACCATACACTACCTGTAGACCATGGTCTGCTATCATGGTTTATTAACCATGATCTGTCATCACTACACCCGAACTATAGACTATGGTCTGGTATCTCCATCTATGATCTATAAACCATGATCTGTGATCACCGTACACTACCTGTAGACCATGGTATTTCCATCCATGATTTTTTAACCATGATCTGTCATCACCATAAATAACCTATAGACCATAGTCAGATATCCCTACCCACAATCCATTAACCAGGATCTGTCATCACCAAACATAAGCTATTTGGAAGTCACCTTCCTCGCCTAAAGGAGAGGCGCATTGCAAATTTTCATAAGATATTTTAATTTTTCATGAATCACAGCAATTTACAAGTTTGAACTTAGTAAAGTTTGTTCAACCATTATTCTAGAAAACCATTGGTTTGTTTGTTTTCAAATTCGGGTACCACCTTCTTGGTCAGGAGGAAGGGTTCAGCGGTTCCAATTTTCTAATTTTTGAAAGAGGTGTGTCAATTTACATATTTCACCTTTTAAAAAACCAAGGGAATTTCTGTTCAACCAATAACATTTGAATTGATTGTTTTCTAATATGGGAATCACCCTCCATATCTTTAGGAGAGATGCAGTACAAACTTATATTTCTAAATTATTAATTTATCGAGAATTGTCCCAAAATACATCTCTTGAACTCGGGAAAATTCCCACATCAAATTTGTTTAACCCGGTGTGGTCTTCTATTTGGGGAGTCACTGTCAGGATATTATTTGGTTTGTTATCCCCCACAACAACGAAGTTTATATAGAAACGAGTTCCATCCGTCTGTCCGTCGGTGCGTCCGTCTGACCATGTGTCTGTGCATTCATCACACTTTGTCCGAAGCATATATCCTAAACTATTTGTGATACCTTAACCAAACTTGGTACACATGTCAACCATGATCGCTAGATGTGCCTTTTGGGGTTTAGACCCAGATATGAATTTTATTTTTTGCATTTCCCATGGAAACTTTAATTAGGCTGTGACTATGAGGATGTCATCTTGTCCGGAGCAGATCTCCTAAACTATACATGCTAGCTTTATCAAACATGGTACACATATCAAGAATGATCCATAGATGTGCCATTTGATGGTTAGACCCAGATATGAATTTTATTTTTTGTGGTTTCCGTGGAAAATTCACTTAGGCTGTGACTTTGAGGATGTCATCTTGTCCGGAGCAGATCTCCTAAACTATACATGCTAGCTTTATCAAACATGGTACACATATCAAGCATGATCCATAGATGTGCCATTTGATGGTTAGACCCAGATACGAATTTTATTTTTTGTGGTTTCCGTGGAAAATTCACTTAGGCTGTGACTTTGAGGATGTCATTTTGTCCGGAGCAGATCTCCTCAACTATACATGCTAGCTTTATCAAACATGGTACACATGTTCATCATGATCCATAGATGTGCCTTTTGGGGGTTACACCAGTGTGTGAATTTTATTTTTTGTGATATCCATGGAAACATGACTTGAACTGTAGCTCAATGAAGAAGTCATTTTGTCTGGAGAAAATCTCCCAAACTCTCCATGCTAGCTTTACCAAACTTGATATGCTGTGGCATCACCTGTTGTAATTGCCTTACAAATATTGTATTGCCATATCAAAGTTGGCACTGTTGCGGGGGATATTGATGTCTTCTTGTTTAGATAGTTTTATGGATAAACATGTTAAGTTATTTGAAACCGTGACATATTCTGACAATTTTTTCTTACTGTAACTTTTTGTTGTATCTAAATGCTGTACTATTATAAATAAACAATTGCATATGTATATCTATAATCTGACATTAAACCCAGATAGAAACAGGTACAGTTGACTCCGCTTTTAGTATTGATTTCTCATGAAGGTGATAAGGGTTTGTTGCTTACATTTAAAGGTTTGCCCTGAAATAGATATTCATATGTTTGCTATCTTTGTGAGTGAATCATCATCATGTTTCCAATTTAACACTCATGCAGCAGTCCAGGGTACATCTCCCTTTGGCATAGAGAAACTTAGCCATTTTCATACAGAGTTTCTGATGCAAGACTATTCTCCTTTCACCTGTGACACCCCTCCCAACTGTGATACTAGTCCCCTAACAACTGGCATAATGTTCCCCTAACAACTACATCGCTGTTCCCCTGGCCTATGCAGCACTGTTCCCACAACTTCCACACTAAATATCAAAGTGTCAAAAAATTATGAACCCCCTTGTGTAACCATGTAACGTTTGTCTTTATTATTACTTTAACTAAATAATGTTATGTGTTTACAATATTCATTTAAGTTCATTCAAGGTTGCAACTTTTATCAATATTCTTCAACAGTGTTAAATTGCATCATAAAGAACCCATGAACATCTCAGTTAGAATTGGTCTTCAGTAACCCATGCTTGTCATAGGAGGCAGCTAACGGGGATCGGGTGGTCAGACTCGCTGACTTGGTTGAGACATGTCATCATATCCTAATTGCGTATTTCCGATGCTCATGCTGTTGATCACAGGATTGTCTGGTCCAGACTTGATTATTTACAGACCGCAGACATATAGCTGGAATATTGCTGAGTGCGTGCGTTAAACAACAATCAATCAATCATCAATCAATGCAGCATGAAAAGAGATTTGTGAAGTAACCAGATGCTTGTTTTTGTCCACAGGCAAAATATCAATAAACAACCTGGGAAAATGGCCGACAAAAGCCCATTTGTGGACCGCACGGAAACATATTTGGCTAGTCCAGAGAAGGTAAAGATCAACAAGAATAAAACAACCGTAATTTTGACAGAAAATACATCAGAGAAGACAACCTCAACAAAAACGAGGGTCTCTTCCACTTCCTGGCAGATCACCAAGACAACCGAGATCACCGATGAGGTCAAAACAGGTCAGAAGGTTTCAACAATGAACTTTGACATTGGCAGTTCTGGTTCTGTGTCTCCAACATCTTCCCCAGGAAGGAGGTCCTTTGTATCCTCCACAGAGTTCACCACTGGCGTTGGTAAGACTGATGGTGCCGTAGGTTTGTCAGATGATGGCAGTGATCCTTCTGATGAGTATGTCTTCATTGAGAATGAGGACGTTAACTACGTTGACAGAGTGGAGACAACAGAGATCCATAACGAACAGGAGTCTATTGCACCGGAGCCTAAGAAGTCCTATTTTGCTTATCTACTGGACCAGGATACTTCTTCAAAGCCGGCATCCAAGAATCGCGATTCAGCAGCTTCAGAGGGGGAAGATTTGGTTCATTTGTCCAGCGCAGAGCTTGAACAGAAGAAGAAGGATGATGCCACATTGTATGAGAGGATTACCTACACCCCTGGTCTTGCTATCAGGAGCTATGCGGTGGAAGAAATCAAACAGAAAAGGTCATCAGAAGGAGCTCCAGAGGGAATCATGGAAGATGCTGAAAACAATAACATGCAGCAACAGGATAGAAGGCAGACAGAGACTGCTGGAAGAGATGCCAGCACCTTGGGTGAAGAGGCCTCCCTGACTCCCGCTGAGGGGTACAGAATCTCCCAGATAATTGCAATGCAGGAGACAAGCTTGTGGGAACAGGAACGTCTGAGAAAAGAAAAGGAAGAGTATGCCATTATTGACAGTCTGTCTATGGATGATATGATGAAGATGCTCGGAGAACATGATAGAATGAAGTTTGAAAGTCAAGAGGTTAATGAGGAGATCTTTCCTATTATTCCTGGTCTTGCATCTGATGATAAGTATTCTGAAATGTCTGAACGAACAAGGTCTACTGAAAGAATTGACACCAAATACTCCGAGATGTCTCCAGGTAGTAAAGCATCAGTACATCGAGAATCCCACAAAACCAAACTTTCAGATGCATCTGCAAAGGAAAGAACAATAGTTGCAAATAACAACCGCTCTGAAATGCCTAAAGAAGGAGTGAATCCCACAGAAAGTGGGCAGTCAACTGAAGTGAAGTACTCGGAAGTGTCACAAGCAGTGACAGGTCCCACTGAAAGGAAACATATTTCTGATGCTGTTTATTCTGAAGTGTCCTCCAAGGTTCAGCAAATCAGAACTGACAATCTCTCACTTGAGCAAGTTGCTGCAGAGGCTGATATCACAGACTCACCGTCCATGACAAAGGTTGTGGATAACCGTCAAAGCGAGACCAATGCCTCATCACATGATCAGTCAAGCATGGGTCATGCACAAGAGCTGAAGACAAAGTTGAAATCCTTTAGTGAACAAAGCATCTCAAGGGGCACGACATCGATGACAAGTTCAGCAACTGTAGTAGGAAGTGTTTCCAAGATCACTGCACAAAAACAAACATCGTGGAGTCCCTCAAGGGAGGAACCAATCTCACAGCCAACTGAAGTGGAACGGAAGTTTAACATTACAGCAGAAACTGAAAGCAAAATAAAGAAACTTGGTGGGAAGTTACTAAAAGAAAGGTCTTTTTCCGACATATATTTTGACAACTGTGATTATTGTCTGACCCTGTCTGATAGTTGGCTGCGGAGGAGGGAGAATAAGTGGGAGCTGAAACTTGCATCAGAAGGCATGTCCATCAGGGACAGAGTCACTCAGTACAAGGAACTCACAAATGAGAAGGAAATTGTTGCATGTCTTAAATCTAAATTCCAAATTGCCAACAAATGCTCTAAGGTAAAGGACTTCATCAAGTCAGCAGAAATGTCAGAATTTGCTACAGTATCAACTACCCATAAAAGTTACAGAATAGCCGACTGCACGATTGACCTTGACCTCTCTGACTATGGTTTCCAAGTTGGCGAGATTGAAGTGATGGCATCATCTTCGGCCCAAATACCTGCTGCCATCAAGACTATAGATGATATGGCCCGGAAGCTGGGTATGTATACTGTGATGTGTGTTATGTAAGCTTTTGGATTCACCATGTAGAATAATCAGAGATATATAAGGTTATTACTGACGATTCCCAATTTCAGTAGAGGTATGGGAGTGAGGTCTCGAGATCAATGAATTAAATTACACTTATTACAGGGAAATGGGATGAATCACTGAAGTTTTGATGTGACATGAACAAACATATAGATCAAATGCATACACTCTTTGTTGTTGATGAGATTTTGGTTGCAAAAGAGACCATATATCAGCACATTATCATAGTTGTTGGACTTGTAACTCTTGAAGCTTAAGAGAAATCGCAGGATCTGTGAATAATGTCATAAGGCTTGACTGCTAATTTCATGATTAAGCAAAGAGATATTTGTTATATAGTGTGATCGAAGAACCAGATAGCTGGTTTAAAAGTAAGGCTGATTCCAAGAATCATATTTCAGGCTTTCATGCAGTCACTAGAATGTTTTTTGTTTACCTGTTTTCCAGCTGTCAGGTTTTATTGTACAGCTCTGTTAATGTCCTGCATTAGGTACTTCAATACATACAAAGAAAAGCAATGGCATGTCAAAGATTGTATTGAATGGGAATGAACAAAAACTGAGAAGTGTTAAGAAATGTTATTTAGAGGCAGAATGAGGATATCCTAAAGAGGGAGGTTTTTAGCTGAAACAGCTGCCTCCATATCATCTTTTGATATCGCTTGTCTTTATTCGAAGGACATTGGTTGAAATATGACACATCGTGACACCATTGTTTGTACTGGAATCTTGGCTAATTTAACTACGGAATCACTGTACCTCAATCAATTCGGTGAGCTAATCGTAAAACAATATTGAAGAGCTAAGGGCGATAGGGACATTACACTAGCTTGCTAATAAAGATTTGTATCAGCGTTGTTGCAGTGCCTACTTTTAGCCAACTTCGATCATCAAATCACTTTCTCATCTGTTGCTTTATTGCAACTTGTTTGAGGTTTTTCTGTAATTAGGTTCGTAGTTTGTCGTGTTCAATGAGCTGACGCCTACAGTTCTGATTTGGGGAGCAGCCAGTGACCCTCCCATCTTGTTAATGGCATCAAATCATCATTGGTCAAGGAAAACATACAAGCCATTACAAGATTTCCAATTGAGGGCAATTTTTGAGCAAACATTTAACAAGTGTTTTTGGAATCCTGACTTTGTATTGTTCATGTGCATGCAACATAAAATAATTAACCCTCTGCAAGATGAAGTCATTAACCCCTTCACACAGGCAGTGTCTTTCCTAGTTAGGAATGTTTGATTGAGGAAGACTGCCATGCTTTCCTCTTCACAGATGTCTCTGTGGTGCATGGATGCTTCATCTAAATCCGAGACTTGAAGTATTATTTAGAAAGAGAGAGATAGGAATAAAGGAATAAAACTAAACTCATTCACTCACATGTCTATTTACCAACCCCAAGACTTCTGCATGCTGCTTATTGTACAACACAGTTTTGGCAATTCATGAACAGACATTATTTGATATGTTCGTTAGTTAGTTTGGTTTTATGCCACTTTTTGCTATATTCCAGCAATATCACGGTGGGGGATACCAGAAGTGGGCTTAACACTTTGTACTCATGTGGGGAATTGAACCAGGGTCTTCGGCATGATGAGTGAACGCTTTAACCACTGGGATACCGCACCGCCCCTGATTTAATATGTAACCTATAAGGGTTCATTGATAATTTCTGAGCTTTACATGTGTTTTAAGGTTGTGGATAACCGTCAAACCGAGACCAATGCCTCATCATATGATCAGTCAAGCATGGGTCATGCACAAGAGCGGAAGACAAAGATGAACTCCGTTAGTGAACAAAGCGTGTCAATGGGCACGACATCGATGCCAACGCTTTAACCACTAGTCTACCCCACTGCCCCTTATTTAAAATGTAATCTACAAGGGGTCATTGATAATTTCTGAGAATTACAGTTATTGGGTGCAATCATTTGTTGCCAATCACATGTCATACAGGTACATCCGTCAGTTATTTCATATAAATCATTTTGTAAAATAATTGTCAGTACAATGAGCAGGGTGGAAAATGGACACATGTGAGGAACTATCCCTGAATATATGAGTAAACAGGTGGACAGCAGGATGTAAGCATGGCAAGGCAAGGAATACCTGTAGAACATATCTTTCCTGGGCTTGAAGTACTCCCCTGGCCTGTATAGCCTTGAAAAACACTCCTCACCTGGAAGGCCTTGAAGAACACTCCTCACACTCCTCACCTGGAAGGCCTTGAAGAACACACCTCACCTGGAAGGCCTTGAAGAACACTTCTCACCTGGGAGGCCTTGAGGAACACTCCTCACCTGGAAGGCCTTAAAAAACACTCCTCACCTGGAAGGCCTTGAAGAACACTCCTCACCTGGAAGGCCTTGAAGACCACTTCTCACCTTGAAGGCCTTGAGGAACACTCCTCACACTCCTCCCCTGGAAGGCCTTGAGGAACACTCCTCACCTGGAAGGCCTTGAAGGAACACTCCTCACCTGGAAGCCCTTGAGGAACGCTCCTCACCTGGAAGGCCTTGAAGACCACTTCTCACCTGGAAGGCCTTGAAGAACACTCCTCACCTGGAAGGCCTTGAAGACCACTTCTCACCTTGAAGGCCTTGAGGAACACTCCTCACACTCCTCCCCTGGAAGGCCTTGAGGAACACTCCTCACCTGGAAGGCCTTGAAGACCACTTCTCACCTTGAAGGCCTAGAAGAACACTCCTTCCCTGGAAGGCCTTGAAGAACACTCTCACCTGGAAGGCCTTGAGGAACACTCCTCACCTGGAAGGCCTTGAGGAACACTCCTCACCTGGAAGGCCTTGAAGAACACTCATGACCAGGAAGGCCTTGAAGAACACTCATGACCTGGAAGGCCTTGAAGAACACTCCTCACCTGGAAGGCCTTGAAGAACACTCATGACCTGGAAGGCCTTGAAGAACACTCATGACCTGGAAGGCCTTGAAGAACACTCCATGACCTAGAAGGCCTTGAAGAACACTCCTCCCCAGGAAGGCCTTAAGAAACACTCATGACCTGAATGGCCTTGAAGAACACTCATGACCTGGAAGGTTCACCAGGAAGGCCTTGAAGAACACTCCTCACCAGGAAGGCCTTGAAGAACACTCATGACCTGGAAGGCCTTGAAGAACACTCCTCCCCTGGAAGGCCTTGAAGAACACTCCTCACCTGGAAGGCCTTGAAGAACACTCCTCACCTGGAAGGCCTTGAAGAACACTCCTCACCTGGAAGGCCTTGAAGAACACTCCTCACCTGGAAGGCCTTGAAGAACACTCCTCACCTGGAAGGCCTTGAAGAACACTCCTCACCTGGAAGGCCTTGAAGAACACTCCTCACCTGGAAGGCCTTGAAGACCACTTCTCACCTTGAAGGCCTTGAGGAACACTCCTCACACTCCTCCCCTGGAAGACCTTGAGGAACACTCCTCACCTGGAAGGCCTTGAGGAACACTCCTCACACTCCTCACCTGGAAGGCCTTGAAGAACACTCATGACCAGGAAGGCCTTGAAGAACACTCATGACCTGGAAGGCCTTGAAGAACACTCCTCCCCTGGAAGGCCTTGAAAAACACTCATGACCTGGAAGGCCTTGAAGAACACTCATGACCTGGAAGGCCTTGAAGAACACTCCTCCCCTGGAAGGCCTTGAAGAACACTCATGACCTGGAAGGCCTTGAAGAACACTCATGACCTGAATGGCCTTGAAGAACACTCATGACCCGGAAGGCCTTGAAGAACACTCATGACCTGAATGGCCTTGAAGAACACTCATGACCTGGAAGGTCTTGAACACCTCTCATGTGGTAGGCCTTGTAGAACACCCCTGACTGAAAGACCTTGAAGAACACTCATGACCTTGAAAGGCTTGAAGAACACACCTCACCGGGAAGGCCTTGAAGAACACTCATGACCTGGAAGGCCTTGAAAAACACCCTAACCTGGAAGGCCTGTGACATCAGCCTATGGCTAGTTCAGTAGGCCTTCCCAGGATAATGAACATTCCAGTATCACTGAAACTTGCTACGTTTGTGTGGGTACACCTATCTCACATGTAATTTCGGAAACTAAAGAGTTTACTGTTACACATTTCCTTCTGTGTGAGGCTTAGAACATATCAATCACCCCTCAAACCATCCAGGGTAATTAATCAGTAATGCAAAGTGAAATTATCATATATATGAATTTCATTTGCTCTTCTGTCTTATGGTATTTGTTGAAGCCTTTGAAATAACTGATCAAATTATTTTAGCACTAACAAACTGGAAGGAGATGGTTTGTTCGATATGCATTAAAGATTTTAGAACAACTATTTATACTGAAAACGGCTTTGTTCATTTCACACACTAATGTGGTGTGACAGATTGATTGGTGTGAGTTTGAACAATAAACTGGGAAAAAAACACTTTAAGGAAATTGTCGGATTATTTAGGTGGCCATGAAAGTGCGGTTCCGTATAACATGTAAGACAGATCTTACTAATTCATTTGCTGAACATAGTTGTTTTTCAGCCCTTTAATTAGATAAGTAATGATCCTGCTTGTAATCCAACATGTCTGCAAGAATTCATACTTTCATGAAATAAAATAATTAAATAGTGATGGTTATATCTCAACAAAAGTACCCATGGTGTGAAAAGAAAACATAAAATACTTCATTGTTTAGATTCAGAAAAAATGCATCAACATGGTAATTGGTTGTCTGGAAATCCTAATCTATTTCAAAATGGCCGACCTGTCAAGTCCATCAGACACAAAAGAATGTGCAAGATTTAATGATATATCCACTGTAATCTAGAATCCTGCAATGCCACCAAATTGAATAATCTCAACCAAAAAATCTGAAATTATTAAGAGTGCTTTATGTCAGTCTTAGCTAACGTTGAATTTAGACGATTTCCTCATTGCGAGATGTCGCCTTTCTCTGCTATCGTGCTCGGAAACTCAGGCA